GACAATTGTGATCCTAAAAGCAAAGAAATTGGCAAGTATCCATTTTACAACATTTTGGAGGAACCTTTACCAAGTGACATCGAACAAGGAGAAAGAAATAGGTCTAGCAGTGCAAAGGAACATGTTTATAATGTCCCTGAGGAACTCAAAGTAGAAGGAACTAAGGAACCAAGTGATGCTAGCGCTTCACTGGACTCTTCTCGGGATTATGACGAACCGATAGAGCTTTAGAAAGACTGAAAAGAAGTAGTAGTAGTGTCCGGGAAATGGAAGTGCTCTTGCTCACCTGAGTGAGTGAGCCGGCCTGCTTCCTTAAAAACAAAAGCAAAGAAAGAGGGAGTAACCTTTTCTATTCACTCAAGCGCTGATGGTGGATTACACCTATCGCCAATGTCTAGTTGTTTATTTCCCAAATAATCTCCTGTTTGATGGGACAGCAAAACAAAACAACGAGAGCAAGAGAAACGGAGGGGAGGTGCAGTGGCTTGAAGAAACGTGGGGCTAAAGGCTTTCATCCACACCCCTCCCACCTTAGTTCCGTCGTCATTTCATCTTTTTTTTTTTCACTAGTGTAATAATGCTCATATCTATTCTAACTTCAAGGAGTGCAGCTGCTAATCGATAATTATTTAAATTGCTTATCACTTACATTTGGCGTCTAATAAATTACTTAATAGAGGGAAGGCAGCCCGCAAGCTTTCCCTTTTTTTTTTGTTGGCAAGGAACCAAGAACTGAAAAAAAAACAAAACAAAACAAAACAAAAAAAAACAACAAGATTTTAATGTAGTTTAACCATGGCGTTCTTCTAGATCTATCATGGGACACTGCTCTTAAGCTTAACAAAAACCCAAGGCTATACTAATGAAAGGACCAACCAGAGTAAGGCCTGGATATAACTCCTAACGGAAGATAATAATAAAAAAGATAATGAAAGAAAGCTTTGCTTGCATATGAAAATGTTTTGTAAATTATAATTAGACATGGAAAATCATGGATATGATATTTAAATGTAAATAATTTGAATAGAAATACAGAGTCAGTGTCACATAAAATAATAAAACTGTTAGTAATACACTTTTTTCGTTTCTTTGTCTTAAGAGCTAGAAAATTAAGGTCGTGCCGGAATGTTAAAGTCGTGCCGGAATGTTAAAGTCGTGCCGGAATGTTGAAGTCGTGCCAGAAAGTTTAGGTCGCGCCGGAATGTTTAATTAAGTCGTGCCAGATAGTTGAAATCATGCTGGAAATTTAAATTAAGTCGTGCCGGGAAAAAAACTGAGGCGGGAAAAATAAAGCTGAGCAGTGAAAAAAAATTTGATGACAAACACTCGATGGCACCAACTGGGTTGCGTACAACATACCGACGTGCACATCTTTACGCAGACGTACAAAAGAATAATATATAACGTTGCTTTAGTCAAGGTTAAAATTTACATGCAACCATCTCCTTCGCACAAGGGCGCGTGAAGCTTTAGAAAATTTTAAGGAATTCGTTTCTAGCCAAAAAACAATAAAAATTAATCCTTTATTATTTTATTTTAAACCCTACTTCTGCAAAGGAACCTGCACAGATGTTTATAGGCGACGGTACAATGTTGTGGAGGCTTTTGGTTTGGATCATCGAACGCACAGCATAAAACATGTCGGGCATTATAATAAGTCTGATGATTTTTTCACAAACTGTTTTATTAGGAATGCTCTTGGTGAAGTAGAGTGAAGTAGTACGTGGTTGGATCTCTTTTGGACAGCTACTTACCTATGCATTTTCACAAATTGCTGGCGGATAACTGGGCACTTTTGAGATTTCAAAGAGCCCTTTGCGAATGAATCGCACGCCAAAGTCGACATGCATCAAGGATTGTAAATGTTTTCGAGTAGGCTTGAGATAATAACCAAAAGTATTCAAGATTCAAAAAGCGATCGATGAAATTATGGAGGAGAGCTACCTGTACATCATGAAACTTAAGTTACCTTTAGCTCCACTGAACTTAAGAATCCCACTATTGATACGTGCTGATGAAGTCGCAGCAATGGCTGAGGCTCAATGTTACTATTAACGATAAGTACACTACTCCTAGATTTTCAAGGCATAAATACAACGAATTGGAAGATGCACAGGGCGGCCGCTGAAGACATCCCAATTTGAATTTCTGCAAACTAGCGGGAAGGATGGTAAGGGATAGTGTATTGGCAGCAAAAAAATCAGAGTAAATAAGGCAACGACGGAAGGTTTGGGACTGCCCTCATCTATGGAGTGTAAACAAATGCAGGTGATTTTGCGGTAATTAACCCCGAGATTTCAGGAGTTGTTGCATGCAGCCAAAAATGATCAAAATCAGTTCCGTCAGGAGCAGCGCTGTGCACGTGAAGAATTCGGCTGTCTTCCTACGAAAACAGACTCAAGGGTAGGAATTCGCTCAAATTCAACGGCTGACTCAGCTACCTACATCTAGGTGGATCATTTCCATGCATCTGAAGCTCGTCAAGCCGATGAGCCTCGATAAAGTTAATCAGATTCATCTACGATCAAGATCTCCTTCACAGCTAAGTGAAACTTCGACTAAAGTCTTTATGGATTGTGATTGCTATTTCTGATGAGGAAAATCTTATTTGTGGCATTATCTTCAGGCTGCAAACTTTAGCGGGCTTTAGGATTATGTTGACGAAACTATTCAACGACATGTTTCCTTTGGGAAACGTATCATAGTGATGGTTGCCTTTAACCTTATAACTTAGTGCTATCACCACAGTTGATAACGTCAATTGGCCACCGTAAAGAGTTTAAAAGTTGACTTTTCGGGCGTTAACCCTTCGTCAGAGGGATCGCCTTCAACCTTGGTCGTCTTCTATGTATGAAACACTAAAGCCGTGACTTTTCATCTACAGTTTCCATAGTTGTTACCCTCTTCCCACAGTTTAAAGCAATTAAAACGACCTCTTATTCCCTTATTGATAAGATTTTCTTTAATAATCGTATAATAACAAATTTATATAATTGGTGCAGTGTTCCTTTTCGTACTTAGTCTCTTTTCCTCTACTGCAACTGATACTAGCCATCTTTGATCGCATTTTTGCTTTTTGAAATCAGTGAATAGCAAAGTTGATTAAAAAAAATCAAACCGCAAGACTTCTTGAGGTTTAATGTGGAACATTCTCGACACAACTCAGTTTCTCAAGTGTTTAGTGGAATTCCCTTGTGGGCAACAAATCTAATGACGCCAATCATTTTTTGTCTTCCTTCTTCGTCGTCAAGGTTAATAAGATGATAAATACACCTGCTCCCATGAAAATACTGTCAAATCTCAGTCATAATTCCTCTCCAAAGAGTGGATATCTCACTGAGGTGTTCATCAGGTTAAATAAATTGTTATTCGCTTATGGAAACATGGTCAAATACAAGGTCCAAAGAAAGGAGTAAAATATCCACCTTAAGTGGAAATGTCACGTTATGAGTTTGCGCACTAAATTCTTCCTGTTTATCACTTATAGGTGTCAAATCGATATCGTGCTCCACTGTAATTGACAAAAAGGAGAGCGCGTGGTTGTAAAAACCGACAATCTTGTTTTGGTCACGTAGTGTTGTGTTTGAGGCGGGCTATTACTTAAAACTCAATATATAGGCACCGTTGTCTCTGATCGTTTCAGGAGACTTCAGTAAATGGTAGGACTTTTCGTCTCGACGAAAAAGAAATCTGAAGCTTATATTCTGCTTTTTTAAAGCACCGAATAAGATTGAAAAATAATTTCGTGCGTGTCACTGGTAGATCGACAGAACATAATCAGAACGTAATCACTTCCGCAGCTTTCCATGCAAGACATCCTCAGGATAGGTTAGCCAATATCCTCAATCAGCAATTTGCTTCTTTTGAGCCAACTTGCCGAGTCCAAAACAAAACTATTATTTTCTTCATTGGTCTTAGTTGCCAGTTACTCGTGAAGAGGTAGCTCTAGGAATATCTGACTGTGTGCCCACAAACAAATGACACGAGTTAAATTCATGCCCTGCCCAGTTATTAAAATGATTGTCAAATACATCTAGCAGTGGTTGAGCAAAGGTGATAAATTGGTCGGTCTCATCTGGTATTTACCCTTCATAGTGTAATATGGGAAATATTAATCTAACTTTCAAGGCAGATGACTCACCTACATTTATAACTCCTCAGTCGTTCTCGAGTTCTGAAATGATTTTCAAGATACTGATTTACAAAAGAAAGCAGTTATTCATCGAACAAACTAAGTTGCTTTCTACATCGCAATAAGGTTTTTGCAAAGTGCATTCTACTCCGCATGTAATTCTCGATGTTGTAAATGTTTGTAATGAAGTATTCACTAAGTCTAGTCAGTTAGTTATATTCAGTTAGTTGGTCAGTTCAATTTGATATCGTCTTTCGTCTATATTTAGAACGTACATCCACATCCAAAGTGACCACATCGCGAGACAAATGATTACATTTCTCTTTTGGATATGTTATTTAACACCGTGACTAATAAAAACCTACTTGATGATAACTAGAATGTAGTTATTATATGAATTCATAGTCCGAAGTTATTTCAGTAGTGTTCTAACAACAAATGTTTAATCTCCCGAAGTCAGTCAACTGACATGCTCATATCTATCAATAGTGATTATAGACTATACTAGAAAAATGTAGATAGTGTGCAGAAGAGTAAAGAAAGAATTCCGTGGTTTAAACGAGCGTTTAGCGTCTTAACTAAGAAGTATCCAGTGAGAATCAAAGTGTGAGAGCCTAAGAGATTAGCCTGAGTTACACAGAATGAAGAGGACGTGGATGTAAGTAGAATTGTGTACTGGAAAAATGGAATAATTAGATTAAGCAGAAAAAGGCAGTTCGAGACTCCTTGGTGCCTTTCGATTAGCGTTCATGGTGCAGTCCACAGCAAGTTCCTCCTACGCTTAATAGCGTAACATGTTATACATAATAATACAGTCAAACGCCTCTTTTCCCGTAACAATTTTACTGATCTTAACAATTCGTTTAAAAAAGTTGGTGATAAAATTTTATTTTCATATATGGTCATGATATCAATATAGTTTTCACAAAGTCACATACATTTGGCTCTCGTCTTATCCTACAGGCCAAATGCAGACGATAATACTAGGTCTGCATAAATCTGGAAGGACTTTTACAATCTGTAGCACATGTCAGTTTAAGGCTCTGTATTTGGCCTTTTGCTCTTTCTGATATATATTTGGACAATTTCAGTTCTTTCTTGATCGCTGTTGATTCTAGTATACAATGTGGTAATAAAATTCTTAGCTGTCGCGAAAAAGTTGCTGTGAACCAGGAGCTCTGCATGTGGTGCTGGGTCGATAAGGGCTATTACAAGATAATTTGATTTTATCAGCTGAGTTGATAATGTAAATTGGCCACCGTTTTGAGTTTCAACGCTGGCGTTTCGAGCATTGGCACTTCGTCATTCGTCGTGTCAGAGCAAGCCCACAAAGCCTTGGTACGAAGTCACGTTTATTGATGGCGATCCCCCTGAAACAAAAAACGGGAGCTTACGTATTCTCGTTTAAGAAAAGCCAAAACATGTAACTCTTTACTTTCACAATGTCACGAACTCTTACCAATTTTACGTTTTTTACTCTCCTTTACAGCGGAGCGAAATGGCGAGGTCATTGTATACAGAGAAAGTTATGTCTTGATTCAGAAACTGAAGAAAATAGATGGATTGTGAAACTCTTTTATGATCTAACCTACCTGTTTTATCCTTCCAAAAAGAAAAAGCCGCCATTTCGTCGTTGATCACGTGCTGATCATGCCTCAACTCATACTTGGTATTGATGCACGCTTCAATACGACATGAAATGCATAAGGGCGATCTTTTTAATGCATTTTTCTGATGAAAAACATTCAATTTACCCTGGGATGTTGGAACACTATTTGATGTCTTCCCAAGGCATTAATTAAATATCAGCCTAAACTACAAATGGACAGAGGGGGTAAGCTTCTTACGAAACTGTGAACCACGTCGATGAAGGGTATTACAAGATAATTTGGTTAAATCAACTGAATTCGTTATCTAAATTAGCCACAGTACAGAGTTTTTAAAGCTGACGTTTCGAGCGTTAGCCCCTCTACAGCCTTACTTAGTTTTTCTTTAGTATGTTCATGTATTTTTTCATGAATATGAGTCAGGCCTATTTGCTTTCAATTAGAATCTTGCTTCTAAATTTTTACAACTCAGCTTATCGAGTTACATTTACCCTATGGTGGTTTTCATTTACCATCACTTAATCATTACATAGTTATCGATATTGTTCGAATAGTTTTCAATTGAGGGTGAGAATTAATTCGAAATTGCCTTTCCCTGGTTTGCTCAGAGCTACATAATTGGTTTATCAAAGTCATTATTAAAGCCGTATCACCTTATCCCACAGATCAGACGCGAAGCCAACACTGTTAACCTCTAGTGGCTTCTTTTCCTCATATGCGCTCATATATTTTTTCATGAATATGAGTCAGGCCTATTTCCGTTCAATAAGAATCTTGCTTCTAAATTTTTACAAATCAGCTTATCGAGTTTCATTTACCCTATGGTGGTTTTCATTTACCATCATTTAATCATTACATAAAGTTATCAATATTGTTTGCATACAGTATTGAATTGAGGGTGGAAATTAATTCGAAATAGCCTTTCCTTGGTTTAATTAGCTACATAATTGGTCTATCAAAGTCATTATTAAAACCGTATCAACCTCTAGTGGCTTCTTTTCCTTCGCCCAGAGACCCTAACGATTATGTCTGGTTGAGGCTCTTATCGCCTTGTTTTTTAACACATGTTTATCGTGATATACCTTTGGGATTACTCTACATAATTGTTCTTATTAACAAGAATTGCGTGCGGATAACCACCGATAACATTCATCAGGAAAAATTAGGACAAGTTTTTGTCTAATTTCTTGCATCCTGCACTTTAAATTGACGTAGCCGTTTTGCAGGAAGGAAGGAAGTTATTACTCGAAATCACGTGTAGCATCGATGCACACTACACCACTAAATCATGTGTACATATACGAGGGAGATCTGCTGTAAGCGTCTCCACAATGAAAAATTCAATTTACTTCGAAATACTGTAATATTCTTAAAATGTCTTTCGAAAGGGGTTAATTAAAATTTTGTTCGTTTACTAATCATCATCTCTCAATTTTAAACCAGAAAGCTGATTTCAATCATTTTGTTATTCCTACCATAGAAAAGCCTCCAATTTGTTGTTGAGCGTGCGTTCTAATCATGCTCATTAGTCATGTGTAGTATCTGCTAAGAGCATTTTTACACTGTAAATTCAGTTTACGTCAGGATGTTGGGGTAGTCTTTGAATTTCTGGTCCTTCCAAGAAGTGAATAAAATATCGGCTCAAGCTACTTTGGCCGTATACTGTTCTTCAATTATTTTTTGCCTGAATAGAACTCTTGCTTACTGGTTTTCAATGTTGCGTCTTATTTCACAATTCCTACAACTCAGGCTCTCCAATAACATTAATCCCGCTTATAATGGCTGTAATATATTGTTAACCAATAACATAATGTTGTCGATATTACTTTCACTCAGTTTTTTATTTGAGTGTGGGAATCAATTGGAAATATAGCTTTAACTTCCTTTAATGCGCTACATAATTGGTTTGTTAGAGCCATTACAAACTCGAATCACTTTATACTACCCATCAGACGAAAAGCCAACACTACTTACGCCTGGCGGCTTCTCAATTTTTCTTCTCTCACGAACATGTTTGTACTATGCTGTCGTTATCACTGCCGATCTTTCGTTACTCGTGTTTATCCTGATGTACCGGTTGCTTGCCATTTCGTACGCCGCCGGATAAAAATTGCTTCTACCAGCAAAAACTGTGTTCAGGTAACCATTAGCAACGTTCCGCAGGAATGAAACAAAAACAAGGTTTTATTAATGTCTCTTTAGGAAAAAGGAGAAGTAAAAACGATAAATCATCATACTTTTTGGTGATTTGCCTCACCGAGTTTTTCTATCATGAAAAAGCTTCTAATTTTTTGATGAGTGCGTTCTGATCATGCTCGCAGTCACGTGAAGCACGTATTGATATATACACTTAAGAACTATGTCCTAGACATGTATTTAATGGCGAGCTGCTAAAAGCATTTCTACACTGAAAAATTCAATTTACGCCACTGATGTTGGAACAGTCTTTAAATGCCTTTCTAAGAAGAAGATTAAAACTTTGTCCTTGTGTTACTCTTCAAAAGGGTTTTGCAGATATGAGACTCAAACTTATTTGTTTTCCATGCGGGTCCAACCTAGCCGTACGAGTTACTTTAATCCTGTATGTGATGGTTGTCATTTATCGCTATTAATGATATAAAGTTATCGATATTGTTTGCATACAGTTTTCAATGGACTGTGGGAATTAAATCGGGCCAGCTTTGACTCGCTTTAGACGCTTCATATTTGGTTTATTTTAGTCATTAGCATAGCCAAACTTTATTATCCAAATTACTTTATATAGAGCCAACACAACTCATGGATGGCGGCTTCTTTTACTTCTTCATTTAGAGTCGCTCACGAACATGTCTGCTCTTAAATTTCGTGGCCATTCTCTTCTTGCTCGTGGTTATCGTGATAAACCATTACGATTGCTTTGTTTTTTGCATTTTGCTGGATATAAAATTGTTCTTATCAAAGAGGATTCCGTGAAGATAACGAAGGAGATAAAGAAGGAGATCAATAAGAAAAAAAGAAAAATAAAGCAGACGAGTAACCCGTAACCTGAGCCTAATATTTCGCAAAGTACCGTTGTTTGAAGAAACGGAAACGCCAAGGATTTTTGCATTAATTTACGCCTTTCATCGCCCGCGTTATCGTATTTAGCTTTCTTTTTTCAGCGCGCAAAACAAATTTGAAATTTTTGGCCCCATCTCGAATGTGATTGGTTCGCCTATTTTTGAAACTCCTCAAACTTTGACGTCACACTATCGGAAGCAAGATTCCATTATTTGGAGCACGCGCTTTTCTTCCACGCTTGTTTTTTGGGTCTTTTTAGCAAACGCATCTCTCGGTTTTTATTTACCGTTTTAGAACAAATTTGCAGCAGGGTGCCACGAAAACAACATTTGTATCTGTGGCCGCAGGTATTATGTGGTCAATCATTTTTCCTAAGAGTGTTTTCACTTTTATAAAGATAAAAGCGAAGAGATACCAATGGAAATATTGGCAGCCATATTCTGTCAGAGAGCTGTCAATATAACGAAAACACTTGGTAGTACAAGAGCTTGAAGTACTATTTACCGAAAATGGTAATCGGAGTTTGTGTTTACAACCTGTATTAGCTGGTCACCAAGCGGATGCGGTCACTATGTTATTCTATGATAATGTGTATAATGCCGTAAACGCAACTCGTTAATTCTCGAAGCGGCACGAGCGACATAAATAATACGACGTAATTGTTTCAGAGCCCGCTCCTCATATAGTCTTGTGAAAATCTCCTCCTCGTCCTTTAGGTAATAGCAAAAGCCAAGACTGGTTTACTCTCTATCAGAGAGAATAGCATGTTGCGCAAAATGGAAATATTTTGGACCGAATTGATCATAACGACTTTGATTTCTTTGAGCGTAACTGCGATATCAGAAGAGTTTAAGATTTTCAGGACACGTCCGGATGGAGAAGATGGGTGGTTAGACGGTAGAGATGCGTTTATCATTCCTCCGTTGCAGTGTCAAAGTGGACACATGACAAATTGTCGTCAATTCCGCGCCGATTTAAAGACGCCTATTGTCGATCGATGCGCTTGTGTATGCCCACGTGATAGAGCGACGTTTTTATTCCATAATGGTAAATGGGAATGCTTGGACAACAGTCAAGTCCGAAGATTGTTTGGTGAGTAATCTTGCCGCAAGATCAGTTCGTTAATTAAGCAATTAATTCGACTACCGTGCCGAAAAGCTCCCTAACGCAGCACAAATTCGATCATCCGTTTATGAGAACCAAAAGTTCATGACCCGACGGTGTAATAGTATTTTTTATTAATTTTTGATTTTATTAATATTTGATTTTTTCGTTGTTTCCATCAGCAATCATCAGTTTTCGGTTCTGATACCCCCTTTGGTTTTTGCTTTTCCCGTTTCGGATATTCATTTTTCGGTGTTATAATCGAGACTTAAAAAAAATTTTTTTTTTAGATTTTTGTTATTCGCTTGTCAATTCACATGCCTCCTCATTTTGATCATAACCTTTGGCGGTTTTTTTCTCTTGAGCCCTCGTTTTCCAGTTTAACGGGTCTATTCGATTGAAATTCACGTTCAGCTAAACGGCTTTTGAAAGGTTCCAACCTTCCTCTCTTTAAAGATGTCTTACTGACGTACAATTAAAAAATTTCTTTTTATGATTTCTGCATCCATTTGCCACGCTAAATTAAGGGAAAACTATTTTGCAGCACATCAATATCTTCTTTGGTAAGGGCAGTGATCAGTGAAAAGCAAAATCTACTGGCGGATTTCCTTGAGTACGCCTGAGTGTCATAAAACTCTTTAATCTTTGATATTGCCAAATAGTGTAATTTATTAAATTATTATATTACAGAAATTAGTTAATTGTGAGAACTTTGATAAGATTTTAAAATTCAAGCTAGAAGTTGGCAACATCATCGCCAAAGGAGAATCATTTCAACTCTTAAATGACTAGGAATTCAAGAAAGAGGAGACATTCATGTCACTGAGCTCAACATTGCTAGAACATTATAATTGATTCGAGATGGACCCTCAAAAATGAGTAATAAATATTACAGGATTATAAAAATTTCCCTTTAAAAAGTTAAATTTGAAAGGGCTTTGAAAGGCAATAAATGAAATTACATGAAAAATATTGGTCATAAAAATCCCAACAATTTCAGTTTCAAATGAATATAAATTTCCTTCTTAAAAGGTTCTAAGCAAAGTCATGCTATTATGAATTCTACGGATATTCCCGGTCGAGTCAATCCTTAAGAATAAACCCTTGAATTTTCGTCTCCTAATAACTCGAACCGATCTCCCAACTCAACTTACGATTTCCCTTGTACAGCCGCCGTACTTTATACCAAAATTTTGCGAGGGCAACCCGAGCCCTGGGGAAATCAAACCTCGTGGTTACTCAAACCGATGTCTACCTCTGGATTTCCGTCAAACATTACTGTAATTTTACCGTCGCTTACTTCGCGTGACCCTATCGCGGATTCAAGGAAAGCAAAATTCTTTTCCCCTTAGCTCATATCTGAACAATTTTACAACCAATAACTCAGTCGAACTATTTTTTGTCAATTTGTCAGAAGTCAGAAAAAGTTGAACTCTACTTTTCATTATCTAAATTCTTTTAGGAAACACCGTGTACTTTTTTCGCCTTGTTTTGCAATTAACCTCATTCAACATAAACCACTGATCATCTCCATATTTTACAAACATCCTTCGTGAACCCGACCTTCAAGGTTTACTGTCGTGATGCATCACCGAGGTCATCCAATACATTCCACTTGAGCTCGAGAGAGATTCAGAGATTGTAACTGCTTTGTAGTTCTAGAATTTCCGGCATTTCTGATTATAAGGTGCTAAGATTGATCGTATAATCACTGCATATCTTATGTAATGTAAATGAAGAAAATTAACCAAATTGTGAAGGAAATCTGCGATATCAATTAATTTCCAGTAAAAATTGGAATTTTTCTTAGTGAATCATCATGTCAAAACTTGGTAGAGGATCGCACAATTTTAAAAAATCAGTTTGTATCTATTTTTAAAGTAAAAATCATATGACGTTTCAACATGGCTGTAATTCTAAACAAGTGAGATGAGGTTAAAAGCAAAATTGTCCGCAGAAACTAAATTTAAAACGCAAAAATTAGACATCCATGAGCATCCATGGAGAAGTGAAATGCAAGGCCCAGCAACATTCTTTTTACTAAAACGGCCTCAATAAGACTTAACTAAATCAGAAAACCAACACAGAATTTTTGACCTTTGTCAATGAGTGTCGTTCATTGACAACATGCACTGAGGTTTAAAGCTGCAGTGTAGAAAACCGTACACATACAAAATGTTTCCTTGAAAGGCAATGACTCATTAATGACACACTGGCCACATATGGTAATTGCACGTTGTGCTCTCAAGTTGTTTGGAAATGCTTGTTTCCCAGTGGCAAATGTAGGTAAAAATTTTTAAATCCAATCACAGAGGCATTTAATTCCAGAGATACGCTTGTAATTCTTGATTATACCATTTCTTACAGGACTGTTGTAATGCAGAGTTAGAGAATGGTGGCCCCCGAATGACATTGAAAACCCAGCCTGCCTCAGTTTTCCTTTCTGAACATGACGTGGCAAGTGCCACTTAATGAAAACTAAGTTTTCGGTTGGACTGGGACTTGTCTCGTGTTGATAAACGCTGGAGGAAAGCTGAGTACCTCACATATTATGTAAATGTGATGGATTTAGTTCAACTCTGTGTTGCAGGATGCCGGGAATGAGGGGATCTTATGGCCACCTCTTTGTTTTAGATGACGTGTTTGATTAACACAAAGAAACGGCACTAAACATATTACAGAGGCCCCTGGCAAAGAATCCTAATTCTCAATTTCATTCACGCCTGAGTTCAAGGAATCGATAAAGTATTATTTTTTTATTTAAAAGGATTTCGCAAGCCCCCGTTCGTCACTTTCGACGGAGAACCAGCTACCAGTCCGTTAGGGATGGTTAACGACACCGACAGTAGAAGATTGAGTTTGTCAAATGTGCAGAACTGCAAAGTAGACTCTGCAAATTCCTGGTCTCTTGGATGCTACGGTCCTGCAGCACAATTTAGAAACAAGCCCCCGTTTACAGTCGAACATGGATCGGATGTTACTGATTTTCCATTCTTTCTTTCGGTGAGACTAA